AATATGTTTGACTATCTGTTAGTACTTTTTTTTTCCCCCCAAAATCAGCCTGTAGGAGGACACGCCCGACCTAAGGCTTGACCTCTGATCCTTGCCGCGCTCCCTGGGCAATCGCAGAGTTGTGGCGGGTGCGGTGGTCTGGGTAAAGTGCCGATCGCCCAAGGGTGCAGCAGCTTCGCGCCGCGTCGACGCAGCGGGGGCCCCGGCGGCGTTCAAGGCCTGAGCGCCGCCAGTGGCCTGGAGTCGGCCGATCTCGAGCGGTCTGTGGTATCGGAGAGCCGCGATCGTTCAAGCCGGGGCGGCCCACTCAGTGCGGAGGAGGAGGAGGAGGAGGAGGAGGAGGAGGAGGAGGAGGAGGAAGAGGAGGAGGAGGAGGACGACGTCGGCAGTGGCGGAAGCCACTGCCGACGTCGTCACGACACGTGCCGATAGCCCAAAGGCAGCCTGGGGCAGCCTGGGCTTCACAGCACCCATGGGGCGCAGAGCGCTCCCAGGGGCGGCGCTCGGGCCGTCGAGGCCGCACCGTGCCACCCCGAGGCGAGCCAGGAGCGCATCCAGGGGCTGGCCTCTGAGATCGACGTCATAGAAATAAATAGCTGCAACGTCGCGAGACACAATCCCGACCGCAGCTCCAGAGCCGATCTTTTGGTGGCATGCCTCGAGCCGGATCGATCTGCGAGGGCCCTGGGGCACGCCTGGTGTATAAAAACGCTGCGACTCCCGGAGTGCGGTACGGTACGATCGAAACGGGTACGGGAAGAACGGGTACGAAGACCGACAGCTGTTCCTATCCATTTTGATTAGGGTTCGCTGTCGGCGTTGTCATGGACGTTGTCCATTCGAGTCACGAGGCCGCCTGCCCAACAGCGGCCGCTGTCGTTTTTGGGCATTATTTGTTGTTGGGCATTGTGCCCGTTTTTTCCGTACCTGTTTCGGGAGTTCAAGTCATTCGGCTACGCGTGTGGAGTTACTTTTTCATGGCGCCAACATCGCAGAGCGGATTTCGTTCGGAAAACAATTTGATAGGCCCGGATTGTCCTGGAGAGTTTCGTTCCAGATTTCGAAGTGAAGTTCGCGCGGATTTATTCTGGCCGGGAATGAAGAAAGACTACAACAAATCCACGTGAGATGCACTTCGTTTTTCGCTCGCCCTCTCGGGGTTCTGCACTGACAGAAATCCACGCGAAAATCCGCTGCAGCACGTCTGCAAGATCGGTGCACTGAGCTTTTCGCCATAGGGTGGCCTTTGGTCGCCTGGTCTTCGTGCGTGGGGGGGGGAGCGAGCCCGAGCGCGCCGGCGGCCACTGCCGCGCTCACGCGCAGGAGGGATCGGCGGGCCCCGCGCCAGAGGTGACCTCTCGCCCGGGGCCGCGCTCGCGAGCCGCCGACTCCGGTGTCCGAGCGCAGCCCTGACCTCTTACCACTCTCGCGGGAAGCGGCCTCCTCGTGCTTTTGTTTGAATGCTCTCTCTCTCTCTCTCGCTCTCTCGCTCTCGCTCTCTCTCTCTCTCTCTTTCTCTCTCTCTCTCTCTTTCTCTTTCTCTTTCTCTTTCTCTTTCTTTCTCTTTCTCTTTCTCTTTCTCTTTCTCTTTCTCTTTCCCTCGCCACAGCAGAAACATTCTACAGTAGTTTTCTGCATCGGGATGTGTACAGTCGACCCGCACGGTAAGGATGGGCAACCTTCCCAAGATGCCCTTGTATCCTCCCCTGCTCGATCCATCCTTGGCCGCTTTCGTTGGGCGCCCCGCTCGAAGAGCTTCGAAACGGCCTTCCGAGGCCCTTGCATCCTCATCGTGCGTCCTTACGACACGGGTCGACCATATTCGGGGGGGCGCTTCTCGGCCCCCTGTCGTTCGTTTCCTGACTCGAGGCCACGAGTCGCCGTACCTGGCTAGAGGGGGGTGCGCACGCCCGAAGGGCTCGATCCTTCGTAATCTACAGTGAGAGCGCGCTCCCGAGGCCACCATCCGTCATTGATTAGTGCAGACGTGCGCAACCAGCCGGCCAGCAAACAGCCCAAAGCAGTTGCCGATAGTTGAATCAGACAGCAACAAGCCAATCAGCCGAGCTGCCAGCCTGCCAGCCGACACGAAAACCAACCAGCCTACCAGCCCAGCGTGGCCACGCAAGCAATCCGAGCGGGGGGCTGGCGGCAAGGGCGAACCTGGCGTACTGTACAAGTGGTTGTGTCTTGTGAAGCGTGAGCACGGCGTAAGTTGCAACGGATTGTGGCTTTGGGAGCGCCAAGGCGTTGTGAGTTACAAGGGGAGTGACAAGGGACTGTGGCTTCGGAGACACACATTTCATTACATGTACAAGGATTCTTACCTCGGGGGTGCGAACACGTCTTAACCTACGAGGAATTGTGACATGGGTTGCTCAATGTAACCTGGTATGGATTGTGGCCCGGGGCGCGGGAGGAAGGCGTAATTAGCAAGGGATTTTTGCCTCGGGGGCGCGAGCGCGTCCTAATTTACTGAGGATTGTGGCTTCGTGAGCTCGAGCTTGGCGAGATTCATGAGGATTGTGGCCTCGGGAGCGCGAACCCGTAGTAATTTGCATGGGCTTGTAGCCGTAGCCTCGGGAGCGCGAGCGCGTCCAAACTTACGAAGGTTTGAAGCTTCGCGGCTCGAGCTTGGCGTAGTTTCTCGGGAGCGCGAGCCCGTCGTCTTTTTTCACGAGGGATTGAGATTTTGGGCGCGTGGGCATGGCTTAATTTACACGGGGTGGTGGTTTGGAAAGCGCCAGCCTGGCGTACTTTACGAGGACGTGTTGTTTCGGTGGCGCGGGCATGGCGTGACTTCGATAGATTCCTGCATGGGGAGCGCGCATGTTGTGAGTTTTTAGCGTCACATGGCACCCCAAGAGAAAATTCGGAGAACCCCGTTCCGGCGTGGTGAGCGGGCCCTCTTCGGCCCTTCGGGCTGCCCCTTCCTAGAGCGGGCGTCGATCACTGCAGCAGTGGAGCCAGAAAAATGAGGAAATCTCCAACCACAGCTCGGAACCGAAACTGGCGCAGGGAACTGGACAGCCTCCGCCTAGCAGCCTGTTGGCCCCCCAATGGGGGCACGTGTGTATACGTGTATGTGTATAGCTGCAGAAGTGCATTGGCGCTTCGCGCCAGGCACCTTGGTACTTGAAGTCTGGCAGGCAGGTGGAAGGACAGCAAGGTGAAACAGAAAAAATAAAGGTTCGCCCGACCGCCGCCCGACCAAGTCTACTCAGAGATGGTTTTCCTTCTGGGTGCGGCCTCTCAGGCTCCCCAGAGCGCGCTCAGAGTGCCCCAAGAGGCCCCCAAGACTGCCCAAGAGGCCCCCGAGACGCCCAAAGAGCGCTCGAAGACGCCGAAGATGACCCCAAGACGGCCCAAAAGGCCCCCAAGACAGCCCAAGAGGCCTCCAAGACGCCCCAAGAGCCTTCCAAGAGGCCTCCGAAGAGAGCCCCAAGAGGCCAAAATCGTTGATTTTCATTGGTTTTTTCGATGTTTTTTGTGTTCTGGCTTTTTCGGCTTCCGGACGCTCCAAGACGGCCCAAGAGGCCCCCAAGACCGCTCCAAGACGGCCCACGAAGCTCCCAAGACGGCGCCGAAACGACCCAAGAGAGCCCTCAAGACGGCCCAAGTGCCGCCCAAGACGGACCAAGAGGCCCCAAGACGGGCCCAAGAGGGACTCAGGAGGGATACCGAGAACTCAAAAATGGAGCCCTCCGTCCCAGAAGGCGCCCAGGAGGTCCCAAAGAGGCCCCAAGAGGCCTCCAAGAGGCCCCAAGATGTCGCCAAGAGGCCCCAGGAGACTCCCAGGAGGCCCAAAAGAAGCCCCAGAAGGCTTCAAACATGTCTCCCAGGCGCCCCCGAACGGCCTCTCAACAGACCCCAAGAGGCCCCCCAAAGAAGCATCTTGACGACGACTCTATTTCGCCCCATCGAGAGACGACCCCCAGGGAACTGCTTCACCATCAAAACTCCCCACGCAACGCGTCCGAACGACACCCGCCCCCAAGAGCGCAACATGGGCAACGAACACACAGACAAAAACCAGCGATGCCATATCACGGGCCGGCGGAATGAGCGAAGCGATTCAATAAAGGTTCGCCAGCGTGGACCCCAAACAGTCTGTTTCTAGCATTATATGTAGTGCAACCTATGTGGCACAATCTATGTTGTACATTCTATGTTGTGCAACCTACGTTGTGCATTCTATGTGGTGCATTATATGTGGTGCAATCTAGAGGGTTTAATACATGTAGTGCAATCTATGTTTTGACATTTATGTGGTGTAAGCCATGTTGCGCAACTCACGTGTTGCAATCTATGTTTTGAGCGACCTAAAAGCGCGCAGCAGGCGCGATTTCTGTTCGTGCAATCTATGTAGTGCACTTGATTTTACAAAAGAGTTGACAACTTCCATGCCCTTGCAAACATCCCACCCACCCACCCGCAACTTGGTTTGCAAAACCCATGCGCCGGCGAATGCGATGAGTGCTTGGCGCTGGCTTGTGCATCCCTGCGGCTGCGCCAGCCCGGGCACACACCGCGCAGCGGCCAGCTAGTTTGGTGCGACCGACGCGGCCGCGGTGGCGCTGACCGCTGGGCACATCCCAGCGGGCACTTCAGTGCGAGCAGGCGACTCGGGCGGGCGTGGTATCATGGCAGCGTCGACAAGGGTAGACACGATGATGCTAGTAGCGATGCTGGTGACGATGTTGACAGCGACGGCGGCACGGTCAGTGACGGCGCCGATGCTGATCACGCCGAAAACGATGACGGTGTCCTCGCGTCTGTGATGAAGTCTGCGGAAGGAGGTCGACATGCGCGCGCGGCCAACGCGCGAGTGTGGCCGCGTGGTTTTGTTTGACACGGATCGTGCCCCCCCAGCACGCGCGCAAGGGCGTTCGAATGATTTCGGCATGCGGCGCGAGAGTTTCGTTTGGCAAAATTCCATGCGCATGTTGAACAACCAATGGTTCGAGCGCAATTTTTTTGACAACTGATGTTGCGAAACCATATGTCTTGATTTGATATAGGGACGTTCGGTTTTGAAAACATTGCGAAACCTACGTTTTTTTTTTTTTTTTTTTTTTTTTTTTTTTTTTTTTTTTTTTTTTTGGTTATATATATATATATATATATATATATATATATATATATATGAAAAAAAACAGGATTTCGGGGCATGCGCGCGCGACGACGCGCGCATGCATGTCATTCCGTATTTTGTTTGTTTGTTTGTTTGTTTGTTTGTTTGTTTGTTTTTTGCACAAAGGATTCTCGCGACAACACACGCGCAAGGGCGCTCGAACGATTTCGACATTCGCGCGCGCGAAGCCCGTTTGATAGAGTTTTAGAATTATTGAAATGTTGAAAACCAATTTTTTTGTGTAAGAATTCGCAAGAGCGCACGTGCTTTTTTTTGGATAGCGAACAACCGATAATATGTATATGTGTATAACTATGCATACAGAGGAATACATTATACAACATATTATTGACAACTGTTGATTTGTAAACGAGTGTGCGCGCATAACTTTCTTAAAGAGCATGGCGGGGGGTGTCGATACCGGCTGGGTTGGGATGGTACGAGTTTCTATTTAGGATGGACGATGGGGCAGAATCGTATGTAAAATTACAAAAAAGGGGAACGGATAATCCGGGGGGGGGGTATAATCTCATTCCTTTTACGAAGGAGAATCCAGCGGCGGCGACGAGGCGGGGACGGAGCGGCGACGGCGACAACATAGCCGCCAGACCAGCCACACGGCCCAGACGACGGGTGGCGACGGCGGCGACGAGGCGGCGACGGAGACAACATAGCCGCCAGACCGGCCACACGACCCAGTTCCTCAGAGGAGAAGCGAAAACCCCTAAATTCAAGTGTTTTTTTTTTTTTTTTTTTTTTTTTTTTTCGGCATTGTCGTTTTAATCTGTGATTCATTATCTTTCCCTCACATCTCCTCTTCCTCATTCTCGCCTTACCCTGCGAATTCTTCCCCATCCTCCTCGGCTCTTTTGGCGGAGGCTCCTCCTTGGATAGCCTTTCGGGGGCCGCACAACAGTTTTTATGGGCTTCTTGGGGACTTTTGGAGGCCTCCTGAGCGTTTTCCGGGGGCGTCTGAGGGCTTTCTCGGGACACCCTGCTTCCAACCGCGGTCTCCCTGAACGACCGGGTCGCGATAGGAATGGTTCGGGGGGCGTTTTAGGGCCATCTTGGGCCGTCATGGGGTTTTCTTCGGGCCATCTTGGGGCCCTGTTAGGCCGTCTTGGGGCTCCTGGGGTAGTTTTTGGGAGATGTTCGGGCTTTCTGGGCGTCTCGGACGCCCGGAAAACCGAAGAACAGAGCATTCCCCATGCAAAAACCATTGGGAAATCAATCATTTTCTCTGTTTCGAAAGCCTCTTGGGGGTCTTCTCTGGGTTGTTTTCGAGCGTGTGGTGGGTGCCTGAGGCCCCTTGGGGCTCTCGCCATGCCGTTCGGCCGCCCTCCTGACCGATTTGGGCTCGTTGGCTGGGCCCAGTTGGGGCGTCCAGGAGCCCCAGAAAGTCTGGGGGACCTTCACGAGCGTCCACGGGGGTCGCCACGGCCACGGATCCGTTTTTTTGGGGGGGGTCCGTTTTTGGGGGGTTCCCCCCCCCTTCCCGGGTTATAGAAATATAGAAACGGAATACGTACGCATGCACACGCGGCTGTCTTTTTCATGGTTTTGTTATTGTTATGCTTGTTTTTTTGGATTCTCTTTCCCCCCCTGCTCCTCCTGCTCCTCCTGCTCCTCCTGCTCCTCCTGCTGCCCGCTCCGCTGCTCCATTCCTGCCGCTCCCGCTCCTCCCGCTCCTGCGGCCCCCCCCCGCTGCTCCTCCCCCGCCTCTCCTGCTCCTCGCGCTCCTCCTCCTCCGTGCTGCCGCTCCTCGGAGGCCCCGCTGCCGCGGGCACCGCCGGCGCGGAGGGCCACGCGGCGCCGCCCCCTCTGCTCCGCCCGCTCCTGGCACCGCACGGCAGCCCCGTCCCCTCCCGGCCCTGGCGCCGCCCGGGGTCCGCGCCGACCCGCCTCGGCCCGCCCCCGACGCAGACGACGCCACGACGCCGACGACGGCGGCGCGCGGGATGCGCGCGGCCGCCGCGGCCGCGGCGGGGCCGGCGGGAGGGCCCCCCCATCCGAGCAAGGATCGGTCCGCGGCGGCCCGAGGCTGCGAACGAGCCCGCCTCCCGAAAGTTGCGGCCCCAGACGTTCAGCGCCGAGGTTTTTTCGAGGCGCGAGCCCCCGACCTCTCCGACCACTTCCCGGGGCCAGTCTGCCATCGAGAGCCGTCTTCTGCCGGCCCCGAGGCCCGGCAAGGGCCCGAGGGGCCGAAGATGGGGGACAATTTCCGTCTCGTTTTTTTTGGTTGCTTCTCTCTCTCTCTCTCTTTTTTTGTTTTGTTTTTTTGTTTGTTTGCTGTTTTTTTTGTTTTTTCGATCCTGGGATTTCCTGGACTCGAACACAACTGCGACGCTAGGATCTCGAGGGGACGCCCCCGTTCCCCCCCCCACTTGGGGTTCTTCTCCACTCCTTCCATATCCACCGAAGCCTCCCTGAAGAAGTACCTCCCATGTTCGATTCCCCAGACAGTGCTTGCACTTCGGGGTTCATGTGGCCGCCGTCGCCGCCTCGCCGCCGCCCGTCGCCGCCCGTCGCCTGGCCCTGCGGGCCGCTCTGGCCGCCACGTCGCCGCCGTGGCCGCCTCGTCGCCGGCCTTCGCCGTCCCGCCTGGGCCTGCGGGCCGCTCTGGCCGCCGTGTGGCCGCCGTCGCCGCCTCGCCGCCGCCTCGTCGTCTCGTCGCCGCCCGCTCTGCATCGCTTCCCACTGTTTTGCGTTGCTTGGCATTGCTTGGCATTGCTTTGCTTGGCACTGTTCTGCAGCTCATCACATTGCTCTGCATGGCTTTGCGTTGCTCTGCGTTGCATAGCATTGCTTTGCGTCGTTGTGTTGCACTGCTTTGCGATCGCATTGCGTTGCGCTGCTTTGCTGTCAAGTTGTCTTTCTTGCCGAAACTAATATTTTTTGGCGACGGGGCCGTTTCAAAATGCCCATGTTGCAAACTTTCGTATTCGGCCATCTGAAATTTGGCGACGGCGCCAGTGGCAAATCACATCGTGACTTCGGCACACCATCGACATTTGGCGCGGAAGTTGCTTGATAATTCCCCACCAGCGTTCCTTTGCATAGTTTAGCATTCGTGTGCACCGTTTTGCATCGTTTTGCATCGTTTTGCAATGCTTCACATTGCTGTGCATTGCTTTGCATTGCTTTGCGCTGCTTTGCATTGCATTGCATTGCGTTGCTCTGCGTGGCTTTGCACCACCTAGATTGCACCACATGGACTGCACCACCTAGATTACGCTAAATTGAGTGCACCACCTGGATTGCAATGCATAGACTCTAAGAAATCACTGTATGGGGTCCCGGCTGGCTAACAGTTTGTTAGTTTTCTTTGTTTTCTTTTGTATGAAAGTCTTCCAGGACCAAAACGTCTTGAAAACCCAGACGTTTGGCGTCTCGATTTTTACACGCGCCCCCGACCTCTCGACCACTTCCCTGGGATTAGCTTTTCGTCCCGAGTCGTTTTTTTTCTGACGGTCCCGAGGTCCTGCGAGGGCCCCTGGAGGCAGAAACCAAAGAAACATTGCCGTCTCGACTTTTGCGAGACGCCGAATGTCTGGGAAGTCTCTCGCCTGCACCTTCCAGCGGCTTCCCAGCCGGCGGCGGCCTGAGGTGGCCTGGTACGTGGCCTCCGACACCGCCGAGGTGGAGGCCGTGCCCTCGGCCGCGCCCGGCCCGGCGGCTCTTGCGGAACCGGACTTCCGGCGGTGTTCGTTGGTCAGGGGCAGGGACAGGGGGGGATAGGCAAAGGGGGGGCCTCCAATCGCCCATTGATCGACGATAGGGGCCCGATAGCCCCACCCGGCCCAGAAAGGTGTGGATTTGCTATCGGGGGTCTATCGCCGATCTATCGGCGATATACCGCTGACTCCAGGTCGATGCGTCCCCCCAATGCCAGTCCCCCTACATCGTTGCCCCTCAGTTGGTTGTGGCTCCGGTGCAGTCGCAGGGGTTCGTTTGGGGGGTCGCTCCTGCTTTCCCCTTGCATTCGTTCGTTCCCTCAGAGGAGGAGAAGGTACTGATACCGCAACTCTTCGCCCATTTTCCTTTTTTTTTTTTCGGTTTCTGGGAAGCCCGCGTCGCCGCCGCTGGATTCGCCTCGAAGTCCTTGTCAGAACGCACCCCGGGAGGTCCGGGGAGTAGCGGTATCGGTACCTTTTGGTTTCTCAATTCCCCCTTCTCTTCCCTCTCTCCCTTCCTTCCTCCCTCCCTGACGCAACAGTCATGTTGATTTGCAGTATTGAAATCCCAGGAATGGTGTTCTGGCAGGGTTTCGGATTGACAGACGGTTCCAATGAGGCACTTCCTGCAACTGAGATAATTTGTTGTGGAGCCCTATGAAGAGGGAGCTTGGAGGGAGGGTTTATTGCAACATCGTTGAGGCTTCTTGGCTTTTGCACTGGTCCTCATCCTCCTCTCCCTCGGCTGGCCGGTCGGTTGGTCGGATACCGACGATATCAGATCCACCAGGGGGCTGCCGAACCCGAGGCAAAAAAAGACAGCGCGGTGACGAGGACCCCAGAGACCCCCGACGCAGGACGGACCCCAGGCAGGCGCACCAACCCGAGAGGGGAGGCGCAGACGAGAGGAGAGGCGGAGAGCAGGAGGCCACAGGCAAGTGTGCCTCTTGCCCTCGGCCCTGATCGGCACGACGCGCTGCTGGGGCTCGAGAGCTCGGCGAGCATGCCCTGGGTCGTCGCCGGACTGGCGCCCTCGCGCTCCGCGCCACCGCTGCCAGTCGTGACTATAGAGGTGTACAGTCAATCCGCACAGTAGGGATGGGCAGCCTTCCCAGGGGTGCCCTGGCATCCCTGCCCCTTGGGCCCATCCTCAGCGACTTTCGCTGGCCAGCCTCGCTCGAAGCACGCTCGC